AAAAATCCCATCTTTTTTCAAGCTATGGTTACAGTTGGCGAGACGATGGTGATGGGGAATACCTGGTTGATCATCAAACCCACCCCTCAGAATGGAATCTTGGAAACTTTTCAGTGACATAGAGCCGCCTGAAGATAAGGAACACCTTGGAAGTGCTCTTTTGGGAATAAGTTCTGCCTTTGTCGGATCCTCTTCCAATTGCTGGAAGACAATGCTTCTGCTGAAGAAAAAGGAACAAGGTTTTTACCACCCTTTTATCCTCTTCCAATTTACCTTTTTAATTTTGGGTGACATTACTCGGTTATCCTCTTTTAATTTTGCGTCTCTCATATGCAGCTTGATTTCTGACCTCTTTTCTGTTGGTGGTGTACCATTTCAAGATCAAGCAGAGGACATTGCTTCCCCTAAAGAAGAAGAAGAAAGAAAAAGAAAAAGGTTTTTACCAGTTTAACTCATCCATTTTTTTCTTTTTTAATTTCAGCCAGGTTACATTACACCAAATTTACACCTTGATTTCTGAAATATTGTTTTTCTGTTGGTAGGACTCAGCTTGTAGATCCATCACCTCCCCAAAATTTTGAGACTTATTGTAAGCAGAATAAGGTAAATGTTTGTTGTTGGTGTTTCCATGCATTCTTCACATTCCTTTTGAATTGCATTTATTTACGGCCAAATCCCCAAATCTCTCACTGAACTTTTTTTCCTACCTGGATTTCACACCTTAAAAGGAATTTTAATTCAGAAATTGGATCACAAAATCATAGCCCTGTTTTGATGACTTTGAAATGCAGAGTTTAAATTTACAATCCTACAAAACAAAAACCATCAAAGACGACCATTGAAACACATTTCTTTCTGCAATTTTTTATATGCTATATATGATGTTCGTATAATTTACCTAATTTATAAAGTTTGATTAGGGAATATGAATTTCGTCCCACCAAACATAAAGTTTTGACATGAGTACCTATGGTATATTCAGAATAGCAAAGTGAAGTTGAAGAAAAGACACTTAGCTCTTAAATTGCAGAATTAAATAATGAAATTGAATATGTACAAAAATAATAATAATAATGAAATTGAACAATTAAAGTATTGAACAATTAAAGTATTGAACAATTAAAGAATAATATCATACTCCTAAATCTGAAGCTTGACGTGAAAACAAGGGAAGCGGATGAGCTTCAAAATACGAATTGTAGATTTTGTACAGACGTGAATGTGTAAGTTTGCCCAACTAAAGAAATAGAAACTTTAGGCTCAGTGCACTATGATTGTAGTTTTTGGTTTTTATAAATTTAGTTACTTTAATTAAAAAACTCATTTACTTTTATTTGTTTTACATTATATTTCTATAATTATTAAAGAAATAAGAAACAAAAATAGTTTTAATATTATTAAACTAGTTTATACCTTTTGTAGTTAAGATTCTGTAATGACAAACCCACCCCTTAGTTGAAGTGGAGAGTCAGTAGCTTAGGATTCGTGCTTGTACTGCTTTGGATGAATGAGGGCTTCTAATTGTTATGGATGGAGAGAAGAACTTCTTTCTCTATAGTCCAAAGGAAAATGATTGGGAAATTTAAGGATCCACGTCCCAAATTAAAGGCATGCTTATTCTTTTCACCCTTATTTATACGTATCTTCTTATCCCTCATTTCAAGTAGTAATTGCCAAAGTTTCCTATACATACAAAATAAGTAAAATAAATAAATAAATAAATAAAATAAGAGAAACTATACCAATAAAAATAAAGGTCAATTTTGACTAGATAATTATTTAATATTAAATTTATTTTAAAGAATAAAATAAATATTAAAAAATTTTAATTTAATTTTAATTTTTAAAAAGTTGAATCTACCAAATCCAGTCTAAGACACATGTGATGCGTTTTGCCCTTTTAACCCCTAACCTAAAATTGACCAAACCCTCTTTACCCCAATACCAAAAGCATTATTCTGTTAACAGGGTCTTGAATATCTAATTATGAATTATGGAAATGATATTTACCATGCAATATCATGGAACAAGTTATC